CTTGTGTTGGTGAGAAAATTCAGCTTCCCCACCAATTTTCTATAAAAAGTAGGATCTGAAAGAACTATCCCTTCCTTGGCCTGCAACTTCACAGTTGGATCAAGAGGAGAAGGAGAACAGGGGCAATGCAAGCAATCAAACTCTTTCAAAAGATCTAGAGCAAACTTTCTTTGTGAAATCAGAACTCCATCAGATTTGTATAAAACCTCAAGGCCTAAGAAGTAATGCAACCTTCCCAAATCCTTGATTTTGAATTGGTCATGTAAGAACTTCTTTAGTGGATCTATTTCTGCAGAATCAGTACCTGTGAGTATAACATCATCCACATACACAGCTAAAAACACAGTTGATTTGTTGGACTTTTTGTAGAACAAGGAGTAGTCATTAACTGAATGAGTATATCCTCTAGAATACAAGGCAGCAGTCAACTTTTCATACCACTGTCTACTAGCTTGTTTGAGGCCATAAAGTGATTTGTTCAGTTTGCAAACCAGACCTGGTGTATCAACCATCAGACCAGGGGGTGTTTCCATATAGACCTCCTCATGTAAGTCACCATGGAGGAAGGCATTGGTGACATCAAGTTGAGAAATATTCCAGCCTCTCTTCACAGTAGTGGCAATCAAGGATCTCACTGTTGTCATTTTTACAACTGGTGAGAAGGTTTCCACATAATCAATTCCAGCTTGTTGAGTATAACCTTTGACAACTAACCTAGCTTTAAATCTTTCAATACTTCCATCTGCCTTATGCTTCACCCTGTATACCCACTTACAACCTATGGCTCTCTTCCCCAAAGGTAGTGGCAATAAATCCCAAGTGTGATTAGCATGGAGTGCCTCAAACTCTTGAGTCATGGCTGCTTGCCAAGCAGGATTAATGGCTGCTTCCTCATATGACATTGGTTCGCTATCATGACATACATTTTGTAACAAAAACTGACTGTCAGGAGAGATAGCATCAGGGGTAATATGGTGATGGTTGGAGAACAAGGCATGTAAGGACAGGGAAGAGGTGTGTTGTTTAGGTGTAGTAGTAGGGCAATGATAATCATTCAGATAGGCAGGTGCTTTATGAGTCCTACTTGACTTTCTTGGAAGAACAGATTCATCAACAATGTGAGTTATGGGATCATTAACATCAGGTGGTAAAGTAGTATCAAGTGGTGATCTAGTATCCATAACACTTACACTTTCATGATCAGTTGAATAGGGTAGAAGTACAGATGTATCTTCACAATCAAAATGATAAGGAAGATGACTAAGAGGACTAGAAGGAATGCAATGTAAAGATTTGGAAACAGAATCAAATGAGGCACCTTTGGGTGCAGATGTAAATGGAAAAACAGACTCATGAAATACCACATCTCTAGAAACATGAATCTTCCTGGTGGCTAGGCTCAATACTTTGTATCCTTTTGTTCCAAATGGGTAACCTACAAATATGTGAGGTGTTGTTCTAGGTTCGAATTTGTCCCTATGAACTTTGGGTATTGTGGGATAACAAAGGCATCCAAAGTTTTTTAGAGCTGAATATAGGGGTTTTCTTTGGTATAAGACCTCAAAAGGACATTTTCCATGTAAGTAGTTAGAAGGTAACCTGTTTATTATGTGAGTGGCTGTTAAGATGCACTCTCCCCAATATTTTTGAGGTAGGTGGGACTGGAACATCAAGGTTCTGGCTGTTTCTAATAGATACTTGTGTTTTCTTTCAACCACACCATTTTGTTGTGGTGTGTATGGGCAAGACTTTTGATGAATTATGCCTTTGGATTGGAAGTAGAGAGTGGCTTCATTGTTTATGAATTCTAAGCCATTGTCTGACCGAATGGTTTTCAGAGATGTGTCAAATTGGGTTTCAACCATGGAAATGAAAGCCTTGATCACTTGGAGAGCATTGCTCTTGCAACTCAAAAGATGTGTCCATGTGGATCTGCTGTAATCATCCACCATTGTGATGAAATATTTGTGGTTATCATGTGTGGGAGTGTGGTAGGGTCCCCAAAGATCCACATGCAGAAGTTCAAACAGCCTTGTGGATTGAGTAGTGCTTTTAGAAAAGGGTAATCTGGTCTGCCTGGACATGGGACAAACTGGACAAAGAAATGGTTGTTTGGTTTTAAAATTTACTGGTATAGAATCTTTGGTTCTCATTTTTGCAAAAGGTACATGACCAAGCCTGTTGTGCCACAACAAATCTTCATTATTTCTAGGATATAAAACTGAATTCAAGACAATGTGCTCATTATTATTACATGAAATGGAGCTAGTTACATGTGAATGTAAAAGACATGATTGAGAAGAGGATGCATGATTATTCATTACAGAATTAGAAATGGAAAGACATGAGGCATTGGCAGCTCTTCCAGCACTGCTATTTATCAAACATCTTGAGCACAAGAAGTATAGTCCATCCCTGCACTTACCAATCTCCTGAGGCCTCTTCATTGAAGGGGCCTGCAATAGACAAGCAGTGTCACTGAATGTTACAATGCCCTTTAAGGGAACAGTAAGGGAATGTATGTAGATTAGATTGAATTTGAATGAAGGCACATACAACACTTTATACAATGTGATCTTGGGTGTAAGAGTTATATCTCCTAGTTCAGTCACTTTTACTTTGTATCCATTTGGTAGGCTTATCAAAATAGGGTACGGCAAAGGTCTAATGTTTGTCATGAAGGATCTGTGAAAAGTCATGTGGTTCGATGCCCCTGAATCTAGGATCCATAAATCAGATTTTGATTCAAAGTGTTTACATGAAAACTTACCGAAATCAATTGAGGATGTACAAACTACATTACCTGCAAAGTTCACAGAACCATTTCCCACATCAGGACTATCTGCAAATGCTCCAGCATTGTTCACTTGGAAATGATGAAGCATGGTCATAACATTGTGGTATTGTTCTCTTGACAAGCTTACACTGTCATTTGCATCTGCATTTGTTTGATTAACCCCTTCATTGATCATTGAGTCAACTGGTGTACTATGGACATTCCCTGCAACTTGTTGTCCAGAATTGAACTTGTAATTGTAGTTGAGATTAGAGTTGTGTGCCTGGTTGTTTCTATTGAAATGTGGGTTAGAATTAGGATTTCTGGGATACTGAGGAGAAGGATTCTGTTTGCCATGCTCATTTTGAGTACTTTGGGGGTATCCGTGCAACTTATAACAATTATGCATTGTGTGTCTTGTTCTTTTGCAGAAATCGCAAAACAGCTTAGATTTGTCCACATAGTTCCCTGCAGACGAGCGTCCTGTGTTGCTAGTGGAGCCATGATTGAAATTTCTAGAGCCTGAAGAACTAGCGTTAAGGGAGACAGAGTCCATATTCATCACATTTCGTGGCTTGAATTCTCGTTGTTTTTCTTCTTGGATTAGAATTGAGAAGGCTTGGGCCATGGAAGGTAAGGGATTCAACATAAGAATACTCCCTCTTACTGCAGTGTATACCTCATTTAACCCCATGAGGAACTGAACTAGACGACGATCCTGCTCAGCCTTGTGCACATTTTCCTTTGCTCCACACAGACAAACACATGTGCAGTGACTCTTAATGCAAAGATTATTGAGTTCTTCCCACAATTTCTTCATTTTAGTGTAATATGCAGTGATGTCAAGAGTACCTTGAGTCAGATCGTTGATTTCCTTTTGGATCTGGTACAATTTTTCCCCGTTCGTCTGATCATATCGATCTTCAAGTTCCTTCCAAAGCTCTATAGAATCATTGACATATTCCACACTGTCAGAAATTTCCTTGGATAGGGAATTGAGAATCCACGATGTAACCATGTCATCGCATTGTTCCCACTGCCGGAATTGGATGGAATTGACTTCAGGTTTCTTGCATTCACCATTGACAAAACCTAATTTGTTCTTCACCGAGAGGGCTCGAAGTACACTCCGTCGCCACAATCTATATCCTCCTCCATCGAAAGGAACTGGGACGAGTGTTGCGCCGGGGTTATCTGACGGATGCATGTACAGTGGATTGCTCGAATCAATCAAATTAGAACCTCCTATGTTACTAGCAGTAGCAGTTGATGTTGATTCATTGATCGCCATGGAAATTGAAGAGAGCAGAAACTAGAGAGAAAAGAAAAAAAATCCAACACTGGCAACAGATGCCAGAGAAAATGAAAGACAAAGAAAAATTGAGACGAAGATAAAATTCTACCAACGAATCTTTACCTACGCTCTGATACCATGTAAAATTTAGACAATCACCATTGATACAAGCTCCATGAGAGCATCCTTCACAAGGTGGATCAACTTGGGGAAAAAGAAAATTGTTTTATTGAAGATGCCAATCTGTACTTTATATACAACACTTGTAACGCTGTGACTTAGCTAACTAATCTACCCAACTTATCAGTTAATTAACAAACTAACAACTAACTAACAAATCAACAACTAAGCATGCTGACTCAGTACATAATTAGGCAGCAGCTTATCTTCACAAAGCTGATAGGGAAGTGAATCCCAGTGCAAGTGTCCCCGCACCTCCAATGTACGAAGGGATAACAGCTGCTGAATGCCATTAAAAATCAATTGGAATGCCTCAAAATCCACCATCTCTGAGAAAGGACCAATTCGCAATATCCCTAGGCGGTAAAGACCCCGTGCGGGTAAAAAGAAGGGAACCAAGTTGTTACAATTGATGACATTCCAGGATACCAAAGACAGACAATGATTTAGCATTCCACTTGGTAAACTGGTCAATCTATCACAATGACATAACTCAAGACTTTGGAGGGAAGTCAAATAATTATCTCCAGTGGGAACAGGAAAAGAACTGAAATTGGGGCAGAAGGATATTCGTAAGCTCTTAAGCGAATGGAGATTGTACAAGTTTTGGGGTAATTCACGAAACTTTCTACAGAGTGAGACCAATAGGTGTTGAAGAGAAACGTTATTGCGTAGCATCTCATCAGGAACACATGTGAGCTCTTTCACATCATCCACAGTTAGCTTTACGAGAGATGTCAAGTTGCTACACTAGTTCAACAATGGCATTTCACTGTCAACTCCTTCAATGCTTAGTTCACAGAGGATTTCAAATTGACTTGGAGTAATTTTTAACAGTGGACACTTTGTAATCTTCAACTTCTCAAGCCCAGAAAACATTCGTACTCCAAGTTTATCTCCCTTCCACTCAATAAGGTTATGCATATTCTTCAACACTAGTTCTTTCAATGATGGGAACACTTGGATATTGAGATTATTGCTGCTTGATCCATTTTCATTAACATCAACACCATAAAATGTTGGTCCGATGGATTCCAATTCAAGGAATCCTATCAGCTGAAGATGCCGAAGGAACTTCATTTGGCCAAGCGATGGAATTTCTTTGCACCTCTTGCAACCACTTAATTTCAACACTACTAAATTTGGTAGCAATCCTTCACTGAACCATGAAGGAAATTTAGTTCCTAAATAGTCCACTACTGCTAATGTTTTCAAGTTTGGATGCGGTTGAAGACCATCTAACACATGCTAATCATTGATCTCACAGTCTTGTGATTCATCATGGGACCATAAATATGCCAGCTTGTAGATATTTGGTTTCTCCTGTAAATATGTTGTTCGAGCCTCTTCTTTATTTACGACTAATTGGAGATGTTTGATGGTCAGTTCACCTCTAAGGTTTTTCAAACGACCTAATTCTTCTATTTGACGACCTTTCTCTAAACCTAGGTAGAAAAACGGTAGCGTCTGAAGACTTGTCAATTGCCCCATATTAAGTGGCATCTGAAACTGATCAATAAACCTTGGTCTTCAAACCGCAAAATAAAGATTTGATAGGTAATGATAGTTGCAATATATATGTCGCAAACTTATCATATTTGCCATTTCTTCTGGAAGCTTCTTGAGTGAAAAACAGCTATTGATTCTAAATGTTTGCAAATTGTAGAGCTTGCAAATGGATTTGGGCAAGACTTTAATCTTGGGGTCGGAGAGATCAAGATATCTCAAGTATATTAGCTTGCCAATTTTGGCTGACAACACCTTGATTCCTGAACTGGACAAATTTAAAACTCTCAAGAACTTAAAGCTCAATAGTATATCTTCAGACACATAATTGCTTCTCCAGAACAGTGTGCACAAACGTTCTGGCTCATTTATCCTATCTATTTGTTCCCTTGGTGAGTCCCATCCAAAGTATCGAACTTGAGAAAGTTTTTCTCCTCCAACGCTTTTTGGATCAGATAGTTTAGATTTTAAGATATCTCTAGCCAAATCATGCACAAGACCGTGCATCTTACAGTGTGTTGTATTCTCTTGCTCATCTAGCTTAACATCTTGCAGCAAGGAATTTTGCAATAAAAGTTGAAAAAACTTGTTCCCAACGTCTTCCATCACAGGGGCCTCTTGACATGGACAGAGAAAACCTTCTACCATCCAGAATTGGATTAGTTGATCCTTTTCAAACTCAAAATCTTTTGGAAAAATGGCAAAGTAAGCAAAACACTTTTTCAGATGTGGAGATGGTAGATAGTCATAGCTGAGTTTTAGGATTTTCTTTAAGCTATTTTCCCCGTTATCATATTCACCTGCAACAAGGGGGTTGTCATCAAGAATCGCCTGCCATTCATGTTTTTCCTTGTTGCGTAAGAGGCCTCCCTATACACTTGCAGCCAGTGGAAGACCTTGACACATTTCAACAATCCTGTTCTCCATGCTCACTACTTCCTCTGGAACTTCCCCATCAACAAATATTCTTTGTTTGAAAATGGACCAACAATGATCTCTTGCCAATCTTCCCAACATATGAAGATCTATTGCTACTGTGGATGCCACTTGTTTAATACGAGTAGTCACGAGAATGCAGTTTCCTCTGGATGTATTGATTCCTCTCAAGGTGTCCATGAACTCATGCCCTAATGTAGAGTCAACACGCCACAAATCATCCAAGACAAGCAAATACTTTTTTTCTCCCAATGCATCTTGTAGCGTCTTGACTATTACATCTCTGCTTTGGACCTCAACTTTCCTCTTTGTCAGTGATTCGAGGATCAGTTCAAGAAAGCTCTTTGTTTCCAACATTTCAGGTAGACACAACCAAACTCTCTTTTCGAACTGCTGTTTGATGTGTTCGTCGTTGAAAATTCTCTTAGCCACAGTAGTTTTCCCTAACCCCCCCCCCCCCCCCCATCCTGTTTTCCCTAAACCCCCCATACCCACTATGGGAATGGTGCACAGAACAACATCCCTTCTCATGTTCAAAATCTTCTCCTTTATTTCAGCAACATCCATGTCTCTACCAATAACTTCTGAAGCAACTACTACAGAATCTGTTTCTCGAATTGGTAATATTTGCCAGGAAGGAACCATCAGTGATTAGAGACCAAGATCGTTAGCTAAATTATTGATAGCCCTCAACTCTTCATTGATGTTGTTGATTTTTCCAGACATTTTATACTTAAAAGCAGTATGAGAAAAGAAGTTACGGATATTTTGGATTAGTTTGGCTCGGATGTTCATCACTTGTGCTTTGAGAGATTCATATCTGAATTCATCGAACACATTTTCAGCATCTTCAGCAACTCTCTCAAGCATCTCGAGCCATTTTTCAACAGCCTGATCGTCAACTTGTCGTCTTTCAGCATCATGAATCAGAGCTTGGATCATGGATACATATTTTGTCAGCATTTTGAGATTTTTCTTGCAGTTGCTTAAACTTTTGGCCTCCTCAATAGTGAGAGAAAGCAGTTTGTCAAGAACAACTTTAACAGTAGCACCAATTACAAGATCGGCCATCATTGAGATGCTCTTTACAAAGTTATTTTCTTCGTCTACACCAAAATCTTCTCAAAGTTGCTGCAGACGGCTTCTTTTGCTAGTTGTTTGCCGGCCTCTACAAGAAACACAATAATTTGAATAAATAGTGTTTTTGTGGATTAACAGCTAATCATCCTTTAAATAAATAATTTTGGGTGGTAGTTGTGTTTTTTTTTTATTTCTAATGAATGACAGGTTGTTATGAGTCTGCCCCAAGAAAATAAATTGGCATGTATCTACATGAATATGCCTTTAACTTAACTTCAGGTATTTATGTCCTTCAATTTTTTATTTGTACAAGCTGACACTTAAATTTGTATAAAATTAAATAAGTAAACACATACATTCTATGTGACATAATACATGTAAAATTCCACACGTATAACACAAATTGTCACGTATGATGTCAAGAACTATAAGTGAATCTATAAGGCCGCTATGGCTTCATTTTATACACTAATAATGAAGGTCTTGATCTTAGTTATTTATATTTCAATTATTAAGTGTCTGTTTTAGGTATTAACTTTAAGCATTTAAATCTCAATCATTTAAGTTTTTTTATTTTTATTTTATAACGACTTAATGATTTCAAATAAATATAAATGAAGATTTATAACAAAAATCTAATATCATTTAAATGTTATTCATGCAAGATTATATTTTTGTAGAGATGTATTTCACTCACCAACGACGATGGTGTCCCTGCTATTATCGACTCTGCCCCCACTATCCATGACCACCATCTTCATCACCATCCACCATTATCGTCATTCATTATAGTTGATTGTTACCATTAGTAGCCTATAATTATTATTACCAATCATCATTGCTATTATAACAATCAATCACTATTATTAATTACAGTCATCATTACTATCTACTCCCTCCGTCCACAATTGTTTGTCAGGGTAAGATCATGCACACCCTCAAGGAAAATTTAATAGAAAGTGTAATTTGACTAATATAACCCTACTATACCAAGAATACCAAAAGTCTACATAACTTTTTAATTGAACTACACTATCATTAAGGGCAGAATTGGAAAAAGGTGATTAATTGTTTCTTGATTGTTTAAATTGACAATTAATCTTGAACATCTATTTTTAGTATACCTGCCAAATAATTGTGGACGGAGGGAGTATTATCAACCGCCAACTTGCACTCACAATCATCGTAAGCCATTGTTCCCACCAATTACTATATATTTTTTAAAAGTTGATACAATATTAGATTAATTCGTATTTATCAACTTCATATTTGTTAATACTCAAATAAATATATATATATA